TGAAAAGACACATTTGGTCCACTACTGAAGAGCAACTAAAATTTAATGATTTATTTTCATCCGGAATTGGTTTTATAGGGCAAACTAGTGCTAAAGTATGGGAATAAACCTCTCATTTTCTTTCTTTTTTTGTAATGAAAAATAGATTACAATATTAACCCCTTTCCTAAGAGTCAATATAAGTACCCAGATAAAGAATGCTAGAATTTAACTCTTAACATCTTACACGTTTTCTTTTCTTTAGGTTTGTTCCTTCAAAAACTCATTGAGGCCAGGGGGGAGAGGGGGTGGTGGTGGTGGTGGTGGTGGTGGTGGAGATATTTCTAAAATAATAAAAAAGAGAGTAATCCAAAGAAAAACTCTCACAACCAAGATGACATGTTAGATAAAAGTTGTTTAGCATTTTGGAGGAAATATCCTCCCTTGCTATGAAATTATCCTAGAAGAAAAAAATCTGAATAGACAAAAAGTCTTCACTATCTAGGCTTCCAATTTCACCCCTAAAAATTCTGTGCCTTCCCAAACCACACATACATCTGCCATCCATCAAAAGGAAGGGTTAAGGAATGGTTAAGTCTGCACATCTGATCAAGTCTTTAAAGTCTCTTATACCTGATTATGTAATGCTATTCCCTAAATTTATAGCATCTTACCCTAGATCAGGAAGCCAATCTGGTAAACAGAAAAAGTATATCTTTCAGTTTCAACCACAGCTTCTAAAATTAAAGAAATCTTTGTTAGAAACCCAGGTAAGGAGCAAGTCACTTTTCTTTTTCCTTTAATGGATAAAAAAATCACTCTCTTCTTTCTTAAATGGGAGAATTGGAGAAAATATACATAAAATGCTGACCACAGCAGCTATGTCATGTAGAATAACAAGTAATAATTATTGTTTTGCCTTTATTGGCTATTTTTGAAATACAATTAAGCTACTGAATGTGAAACTAAAACTTTTAAAGTCTTTATTTTGGAGGTCATTTTGGAGGTCAAAATATTTTTTCCACATTGTAAAAAATTCCTTCCAGTCTACTATCTTCATTTATTCAATTATTTATTTGGTGCTATTACGTATAAAGGCACTACCCTAAATATCAAGGATACCTCAGAGAAGAAATTTGCCCTCAAGAAACTTACATTTTAGAGGAGACTAGACATTAAACAAACCAATTATATAATTACTTAATTATAACTCTGTCTGTGAAAAAAAAAAAAAAAAGCCTGCTAAAGGGAGAAATAACCTAACAAGATCAGAATTTAAATTTCTACACAAACATCCCACCTCCCTCCAAAAATCTGCAATCATTCCCTCTATAATTAAGCCTAATCCAAACCTTTGTATAGACTTGATCTGTCTGGTTTTTAAAACAATAAAATAAGTAATTAACTTGACTGGCTATTTTTTAAGATTATTTTCTAATTATAGTTGCCTTACAATATTATATTAGTTTCATGTGTACAACATAGTAATTAGGTATTTATATATCTTATGCAGTGATTCCTCCGTAAGTCTAGGAATCACCTGTTACCTACCATACATAGTTATTATGGTATTACTGACTATATTCCCTATGCCATTTTTATGTTCAGAACTATATACTAAAATGACTAAAAAATATGTAAAACCTACAACTTAATTTCAAATATTCTAGTGGTGTCTTCTTAATGAAAGAAAAAGCAAAGACATAATAATACAGGTAAGCACTTGTCAGCTACCTTGTTACTCGGTGTTTCGTTTGGTAGATCTGACAAGTGCTGACAAGATCTGACCTGTTGTTATAAAACACATTTCTTAATAGATTATAAAACTAATATATTTAGTTTGTGTGCATACCACTATTCATAATGACTCCTTTTTCAGAATGTTTTTATAAAAGCAAGGTAAATATTTACATATTTATTACTGAAAAACAAATTACTTCTGTGAATTTTGAGGTCAGAACGATTCTAATTTGCTTACTAAAAGTATTTTTTTTTTTTTTGCTCAGGTACCTTTTAAATCTGCCACCTTAAAAAAAGTTTGTCTAGCCCAGCCAGCATGGCTCAGTGATTGAGCACAGACCTATGAACTAGGAGGTCATAGTTCAATCCCAGTCAGGGTACATGCCCAAGTTGTGGGCTCTATCCCAAGCAGGAGGTTGCTGGAGAGGGCCAATAGATGTTTTTATCTCTCTCTCCACTCCCTTCCTCTCTGAAATCAATAAAAAATATACTTAAACATTTTTTATTGTTGTTGTTTTAAATCTGGTGGCATCCATTTCAAAGACAACTCAAGATTCCTATCTTCAGAAGTTAGTACATTGTTGCAGAATAGCGCCATTAATGTCCCAAGTAAACATGACTGGGAAACTGAGCAATCAGATCAACTCTCCCACCAAAATGAAAATTAGTTTATTCTGTAAAATAAAATTTACCTCAGCAGTTGTCTTAGATTCAACAATACTCACCTAGAAATTAATGCAATAATTAACTCAGAACAGCCATTGTCAATGTTCCAAAAGTGGCCTCTTCACTTATATTTAGTTCATAAGGAGAGCCAGAGTCTAGGTTCCTGATGCCAATTACAATGAATGGAAGACATATATTTAAATCTAATAGCACCATCTAGCAGAACTTCCACTACTTTGCTTACAAGAAAGAGATGTTGGTTGGTATTCAGTTTGATAGCTCTAACAGCAAAAGTGGCAATGATTTGTTTTCATGAAAGAATCACAGAATGAGAACTACAAAGGACCAGACACACCAGGTCCAACTTCCTCATTAAGTATCTCAGAGACTTTTTTTTTTTAACCATTTAAAAAGTTATCATGATACAGATTAAATTCAGCCATTCCCGGGAATCCAACTAAAATTCAAAATCACTTTTATCCTCAAATTCAACCACCCTCAAAATAAATAAGATTCTACATCAACATAGTTCAATTGCTTCAATCCCATATGCTCTGTGATCATTTAAACATCCTCCTCGAAAATGCTTTTATTGTATCAGACATATTACAACCCAATGATTAATGCACACAAATGGAGGCTGTTTCAAAACTTTGATTCCAGTAACTGCTTCTTTCCAAACCAGGCTCTGATGCTGTCTGGTTACACATTCCTTGTCACAGCCATGAGATCCTGAATGTACCTCCTCAGAAAATATCTTTGGGGAAAACAAACAACCACCACCAAGAAACCCAGCATCTCCGCGTTAATTTTTTGTTTTGTTGTTTTTGCTACATCCAGGCCTGCCACCCCTAAATCCTATGGGGATTGTGTGTGCTGCTGCCAACACGGAGATTAGGAAATGTTCCCATCCCTAGGGCACAAGAAAAACTTTCAGGAGGAAGGCTGTCTTCACTGCCTAAAGCAAACAGGGAAACCTGCGCGTTGGCTTTTTATTTATGCAGCTATTTCCGTGCGCAAGGTAACCGACGTCGTAGCTTTGGGGAGATGGTCTCAGACTTCCCCCCAGTACGGACCCCCGTGGGGAAGGAAGGGAGAGAGCACCTTCCAGTACAAGGTAAGCCTCACCCTCCCAGGGGACGTGGTTACCAGGAACCATGGATCTGCTGCACACACACACACACACACACACACACACACACACACACACACACAGAGGGGTTCTCTCTCGCTCAGTGGTCACAGTCACTGTTGGCTCTCATTTTGTAGCCAACAACCAAACCACCGTTACCAGTCCAGGAGACCGGCGGCAGCCAGCCCTGCGTTGCAGTGTGCCTTGCCGGCGGCATCTCCGGAGAAGGGGCGCTTCTCTCGCCAGCCTCCTCCGGGCACCCCCCGAAGTTAACACCTGTGTCTGCGCCTAACCACCCCGCTAAACAACTCCTTCCCACGTCTGCTCTGCTCCCTCCCCCAAAACCCCTTTTCGGGCCGGTGCCCCCTTCCCACCGCGGACAGCCCCGCGCGCGCCGGGGGCCGCAGCAGCGCACACGGCACCCCCTCCGCGCCCCCCGGGCCACCGCGGTCCCCCGATCACTGCAAAGCTGCAAGTCTTCCCCCCAAAAAAAGTTCGCCCGCAGCCGCCCGTGGAGTCCACTAGGCTGCGAGAGGCAGCAAAGCAAAGCCTCCTCCAGCGGATCCCGCTCCTCGCCAGCACACTTTTCCTCCCCGGGAGCGCGGTCCTCCTCGGACTCCCAAACTTCACCCCCCGGCGGCCCCCGAGCCCCCCGCCCCGGCTCCGGGAGGTGCGGCGGCTGCTGCGAGCGCGGCGGCGTGCCCCCTCCAGGGGCCGGGAGAGCCCCCACGCCCCCCGCACAACCCGCACCGCACACGCCCTCCGCGCCCCGAGCGTCTCCGCGCCCCACGGGGCCCTGCCCGGCCGCCCCGCGCCCGGCTTCCGCCCGCCGCCCGCCAGGCACCGCCGCCCTCGGCTCGCCCGCCCGCCCGGCAGGCACTCCCAGCCCCGAACCCCGGCGCCCGCGACCCCGCGGCGGCCGGTGCCCCTCGCTCAGTCCGCCCGACCCCAGCCCGTCCCTCCGAACCCCCGCGATCCCCGCCACGCAGCCCGCTCCCAGCGGCCGCCCCCTCCCGCCGTCCCCCGCGACCCCCGGCAGCTCTTCGGATCGCGGCGGCGGCCCCGGACGCCAGCTCTAAAGTTACTTTGGAAGGAGGGGAGCCCACGGGTTATCCCCCGCGACCCCCCAAACAAGTTTCCATCCTCTCCGCCGGCACTGCCGCCGCCCCCCAACAACACCCTCCCGCCGGCCCGCCCCGCAGCCCCCCGCGGCCGCCGCCCCGGGAGGGAGAGCACCTTGTGGGGGACAGCCGCCCCCCGCGCCGCGTGCCCCCGGGTCGCGCCCTCCTCCCGCTGCCCGCCCGCCCCGGCTCTCCCCCGGCGGCGGAGAGGGTCCGGGTGTCGGTAGGTCTCCGGGAGAGTGCACGAGTGTGTGTGTGTGTGTGTGTGTGTGTGCGTGTGTGTGTGTGTGTGTGTGTGTGTGTGCGCGCGCGCGCGCGCGCGTGTGCGCCGGCGGCGGTGGGCGAGCGGCGGGGACACTCACTTCTCCCGGGCCTGGCTGTCGGACGGGACGGCGCTGCTGTTACTCTTGCCTTTGCCGTACATGCTTGTGCCGAGAGCAGCTCCCACTGTCACGCACCTGTCAACCCATCACAGCCTCCTCGGGAACAGCCCCGTCCCCATGGCGACCCACGCAGCCACCCCCGCCATTGGCCGCCCCGCGCCAGGGCCCCGCCCCCTTCGCCCAGGCAACGCGCGAGACTGACAGGCCTCCTCCTCCCTCCGGCCTTCCCCGGCGCGCGGCGGCGGCTACAGCCAGAGAGGCAGTCTCCTCCCTCCTCCCCCCCCTCCCTCCTTCTCTGCCTCCCTCCCAGCCTCCCTCCCTCCCTCCTTCCCTCTCCACCGCCTCCCTCCTCCCGCTCTCCTTCCCCCCCTCCCCCCGCCGAACCCCGGCGCAAGCGGGGAATTAGAAACTGCTCTAGAAGGATTTTAAACAACTGGCTGTTCCCTCCGCCGCCGCCCCTCCCGCCGCGCCGCCCGCGCCCGGCTCCTCACTGGAGAGAAGGCGCCGGGAGGAGGGGAAAGTGCGGCCTGGACTTTCTGGCCGGAGCCGGCGGCGGAGCTGCAGCCTCGGCGGCCCCAGACTTCGGGGCGCCGGCCGAGTACACCGGCAGACCTTCGGCCCCAGCCGCCCTTGGGGGGCGGTTCCTCTCCCCCCCCCCTTTGCCAGCCTCTCTCTTGCGGATGACCGGGCGCCGGTACCCAGCATTGATCTCTGCCGCCCTCCACCTCCTCCCCGGGGTGCAGCCCCCTCCCCGCTCCCCGAGGGCCAGCTGGCGAGGGATGCACGCGCTGCTCCCTCGACCTTCTGGCGGAGCGACCCGGAGCGGCTGGCTTACCCTCCTGGGGAGCGACTGCGCCCGGGGTCATTGGCGCCGCTGCAGTGGCGTCGCCTGGCTCCTGGGACCGCGCCCTGCTGCGCCCCAAGGGAGCCCCCGGCCTCGGGCGGGCCTGCCTCCTCTCCTTAGAGGTGAGCCTGGCTTCCACAGAGGGCCAGGTGGCTCCTCAGGCCTCTTGTACCCCTGCCCCAGCACGCCCAGAGCCCCTGGGGTGCACCATGCACCAGCTCCCCTGCCAGGTCTGCTGCAGGAAAAGGCCCCAGTCATCCCCATCTGGCCTGGTTTTCCAACCTCGATGAGTGATGTCTACTCATCCCGATCTCTGGAGTGGGAAGGGCCATCGAAGGGCCTTTAAAGCCATCCTGTCCTTGTCCATCAGAATGGACCCCTGTCTCGCTCCAAGAGCTGTGCCGGAGCTGAACGGCTGGCTGGCTGAGGATTATTTCTGAATCCAAGCCCCTAATCCCGTCCCGCTTCAGGAAATGTGCAAAAGTTTCTGAAACACAATCTGGTTCCCCAAAGAACTCCGTAATTGTATGTTGTGGAGTCCCTTGGATGTAAAATCAGAGTGCAAGTGGAGTTAGAAAGAATAGATGGGCATCAAACAGGGAGTGACAGGGAAGAGGGGTGCGGGTGGGGATGGGACAGGAGGGAAACATCAGAAAAGGATGAAATAGCTGTGGGAGGGGAGACAAAATAGATTCAAATGGGAAAAGATGTACCTTTCTATTCCTCACTTACAGCCTTAAGCTTTTAGTAGGAGGGTCATAAAAATTCATATTGAAGATGAGATGGGTGGAATGGAGAGAAATGGGCTTGTGTGGGCATTGACATCAAGTTATAAGAATAAAAATGTCAACAGAAGGTTAAGGAAGGGCAGCTAGTAAAAAATGAGAGAGAATCAAAAAAGGGATTGGCAACCAAACATATCAAAAACGGGGTGGAAATGAAGAAGGACTCTGTTATACGGTATTAAGGAAAATGAAAAAAAAAATTGGAACAGATAAAGTATTTCCTTCCTTAATAATTTCCAAAGAAAGTGTCATTTCTGATTGCTCTAACAGGTCTCAGTATCTGAAGACACACCCTAGTAGAAAACTATGAAGAAGTTGGGAGGTGGGGAAGAACTGTATGCTGAGAGTTTTAGTCTCTGCTGCTGATTTGTGACATTGAGGTCTTTGCCAGTTAAAAAAGAACAAAAGATAAGAAAGAAGAAAAGAAACAGCATTAAATGAAGAAGCTATTGAATATGATAGCAAAAGAAGATGACCAAAACAATAGAGGACTAACATTATAATAAAAAGATAAAAGAAAAATATAAATGCTTTTATTAAAAGGACAAAAATTCATCCCAGCGGGTATGGCTCTGTGGTGAAGTGTCAACCTATGAACCAGGAGGTCATGGTTCAATTCCTGGTCAGGGCACATGCCCAGGTTGCAGGCTCTATCTCCAGTGTGGGGCATGTAGAAAGCAACCAATCACTCAGTGATTCTGATCCATGTTTCCTTCTACCCCACTTCCTTCCTCTCTGAAATCAATAAAAAAAATTTTTAAGGACAAAAATTCTGACAATAGAAGTAGAGATAAAGAAAGCAGTGGTGGGGTAAGAAATCCCAATAGCTTAAGTTGATTAATTTTCCAAGGGAAGTAATTTGCCATTTTTTACTAAAAGTCTCCTTTCTGTTTCTAATGATCTACAGTGACTTGGTAGTAGAGACATGGCATTCACAGTCTCTGAAGAACTAGGAGTGATGCTGAGCCAGGAAACCTCTCTTTTTAAACCATCACTTAAAATGCTCAAATGTTGATAAGGCTTCCACTGTTTCCAGACTCTGCCTTCAGGTTGGCATTATATAATTTGTTGTTCAATTATCTGCTTCCATTGGCTTCAGTCCAGAAAATTATTATCATTCGGGGGCCCCATCACCCATAGAATATTCCCTTAAGGTGATGCTCAGGGAATTCTCTCCAGGAGGGAGTTCCTGGCAGCTGTTGATCCATATTCCTGCCCGCACTTGGTAAGGTTTCCATTAAAAACCAAGAGCCCAGCCCCTGTGCCTCAGAGCTTGAACTTCTACCTAGGAACCAAGAAGTCACCATTTGATTCCAGCCAATCAGATTACATGCCCAGGTTTTGGCCTCATTCCCCAGTAGGGGGCATGCAGGAGGCAGCCAATGGATGATGTTTCTCTCTCATAAATGTTTCTATCTCGCCCTCTCCTTTCCTCTCTCTTAAAAAAAAAAAAATCAATAAAAAAACACCAACAATGGGCTTTGTGCTGTTATCTAAAAACAAATTAGTTATTATCGTCACACCAATGTAGGGATTCTCTAACCAGGATTCTCAGTTGTGGCACATTAGAATTGCTTTAGGAAGATGTTGTTATTTTTTGTTTGTTTTAAATACAAGATCTGAAACCTCACTAGAATAAATCAGGCTAACTAAATCAGAAACCTCTGGGATGGGCCCACACATCTGTATATAGTATGTAACCAGGGCTGCCTCACTCTGCTCTTCAGAATCCACCTAAAGACAGCCCACGGGCTCTATCAGATCTCAAAACAATATTTTTAGGTTGCGGCTATACATATAATGCCATGTGAGGCATTAAGCCATCTTTACAATGGACTTTACTTTCTACTCATTGAGCCAACAAATTTGTTAATAGCACGAAAATGTATCACCACATGTGTTCCTATAGCACAAAACCACAAATAGCCATGGTTTATTTTGCTTTTTCCTAAAGGGAAAGGAAAATGAAAGAAAATAACACAGGCTGCTTGCTGTCTGCTGCTGTAATTTATTCATTTGATTGTATTTCACCCAGATTTGTTACATGGAAGAGTCCTTTGTGTAATGGCATATTTTCTGATATTTTAAAAATAAATTGTAGATCTGCACAGTGGCTTATGGAATTCAGAACAAGTTGGTCTTAGAGTCTGTAAAGAATAAAATGCTAAAAGGTCTTAGTTCAGAGCTTGCCAAGGTAATGTCGATTACCTTTACAAGAATGTTACCATCCAGCAAATAAACAGTGAAAACATGACTATCCCTATATGTGGTAACCTCAAAGCTTTATAGTAATCAAATCAATTGCCATTAAAACATCTCAGCAGCTACCTGAACAGTCTCTTTTATTTTCTTCTTAATGTTTACACAGGTAAATAAAATGCTTCTTTGCCCTTGTTCAGATTATTTTGAATACGAAGAATGTTCTTTGCATCAGCAACTGTATCTCGTGGGACCAATACTGTAATTAATGAGATTTGACAAACACATATTCAGAGCCAAATTTGAGATCCTAGACATAGAAATGAAATCTATTGTTATAGTTTTCGTATTTTTTTAAAGGGGAGAAAGATAGATTTAAAGCTTCCTAGTGTAAAAAATTACAACATTTTTTTTTTTTACAAGTTTTGGGCTTTTTAAAAATCTCACACATAAAGCTGATTAATTTTGAGAGGCTGGATTTGTTGTAGGGGAGTGCTGACCATCTGAGACACCAAACTGGGACATTTTGCATTTGAAGTTGTTGGTTTTTTAAACTTTATTCTTTCAGATATAGAATATAATCATTAGGTCTACCCACTCTTATACCCTCACCCCCATAAGTTTAGACACTTATGCACAATTTTCTCTTTCTGGAACTTGAATCTTATTCTTGGAAGTCTTTACCATTTTAAAACAGGTAGTTCATTATATCCCCCCCTACTCAAGCTCTAGATTAACTGTATATTTCTTTAATCCTAATTTTTTTCCTCTAAAACATTAAGGTTAATAATATCTATATTCTTCCAGTGCATGGAACTTGAAAAAAAATTTCCCCTTACTATATAGAACAAAGAGATTAACTCTTTATGTTTCAGTGGAAGCTAATCATGAACTTAATTACTTATATCACATAGAATACTTAGCATGTTAACATAAAGAAAAATAGAATAAAATATTTTTTTAGAAAAAATAAACTATTCAAACATTAAAATGAATGTTCTTCTTTTTTTTAATATATTTCATTGATTTTTCACAGAGAGGAAGAGAGAGAGATAGAGAGTTAAAAACATCGATGAGAGAGAATCATCGATCAGCTGCCTCTTGAACACCCCCTACTGGGGATGTGCCCGAAACCAAGGTACATGCCCTTGACCGGATTCGAACCCGGGACCTTTCAGTCCCCAGGCCGACGCTCTATCCACTTGAGCCGAACCGGTCCCGGCAAAATGAAATGTTCTTATTTTGGGGTAATTTTTTTCAAATCACAAAACTGTTCTTTTATAGTTAGTTTATAAAACTTTTTAGTTTATGAAAATAATATGTTCTGACTTATATTCATATCATTTTTTCATTGCAAATCAACAGATATCCACTCACTCATTAATATTCAATATACCCCAGTTAATTACATTTTTCTAACCAGTTTTTAAGCTGGGTAAACTGAGTCCTAGAAAGATTCATCAGCATGGCCTGATCCCTAAAGAAAACAGAACCAGTTCCAGGATGAGAACTCCCTGTTCCTGGCTGACAGTCCTGTTCCCAGACCACGAGGCCGCACCTCTTTCTCTCAGAAGTGACTCTTCCACAGAGGAATGTGAGCAAGCTCTGAGATGTTTGTCACTCAGACTACCATCGGAAACTTCATTCCCAGGAAGAGCAGGTGGGCATGCTCAGATCTACAAACTGCTCACATGCCATGCACCAGAGTAATTGAATGAACAGTCATTACGACCATAATGCTACACAACGTGGTCTCTTATACCAGAATAACAAATGGAACGGGGCCTCAATTTCACATTATTCGACTGGTTGAACATCAGTTAATCTGAGGCAATGACTGTTTTCTTAACCTATTGCCCTGGATTTTTAAAATCGAAACTTGGATGTTTATAAACACCCACGGGTTAGGCAAAACAATGTGCAGATCTACCAGTTCTCAACAATTCCATCTCTGGAGTGCCTAATCTTTTTGAGCACTATTATGAATTTGAGATTTAGTGTCCTGGAATAAAATAAAATAATCCTGATACAAAGAATTGGTAATAAGCTGAAGATGAAGGAAAATGAAAAACAAAAACAAAAGCAGGGCAACCATGTATGGCAGTTTCACATATGTTAGCACATTTTGCAAAAGAAATTCCAAGTGTTGCAGTGTTCACTGGCTGGATTTTTGTCATTAATTGTTGAAAGTTATGTAATAGGAAGTGTGCCAAAGAGTGTTCTTTATTCAAAAGTATCACTATGGTTTTTTTAGTGCATTCCTAAGTCTTCACACAGTTTCTCACCTGCCGAAGTTAGGCCAACATGATGCCTTAGCATTCTCTGAGTTGACAAAAGCTCCTGTCTCAAGAGACCAGCTGTGTGCCATTCCAGGCAGTGTCATTTCCTTCGGTGAGGAATAGAAACAGGAAAAAAAAAATAACTACTACATTTGCTTTTCATAATTTGTCAAAGTAACCGGGCCCTCTTATCCACGTGTGGCAAAAAGAGAAGATGACAAAGTGTCCCACTACTGTATTTTATTTACCAAAATAGTTTATGAATAAGGGGTTAAAAATGTATTATGTTCTTAACCTCTTTAACAGTATTAAAAATTTAAGATGTGCTGAATATAGCCATGTCCAACAGTAAGCTATAAAGTATAAAATCTTAACAGGGTCATGTATACTTGCCAAAGATATGGAGGGCTCTTCAAATATTTTATTTTAGAGTACTCGAAAAGCCTTTGGGAAGAGATTAATCAAAGATCATATATGTATATATGCATAACCTATGGACACAGACAAGAGTGTGGCAAAAGCCTATGGTGAGGCAGGGGCTGGGTAGAGGGGCAAAAATGGGGAAATGGGAGACAATTAATACTGATACCAATAAAAATGATCCATAATAAAAGCTAAGTATTTGAAATCCGTTGTGCCCCATCCTATTTATTGCAGTAAATTCTGGAACATTCCCTAAGTATTTTGTGGTAGTAATTGCCACCTGCATCAGATTATGAAGGCACAAACCAGATTCCTCATCAGATAATTATATAATCTTCTTATCATCAACTTCCCCAACCCATCAGGCCTTTTCTCCTGAGACCTAAATTCTTCAGGCAGAGACTAGAAGGGTCCCCCTGTCACGTGGTGCTAAGTTATTAACGATTACAAAGCAAATTCCCGTTAACCTCACTCAACTTCTGAGACCCAAGTTGTCTGTGGTATTGGAGGGCCAATGTTAAGAAAGTTAAAGAAAGGATACATTTTTGGCATAGGACATGCTACTGCTACTCTGTCCTCCCTTTAACACTCATGGGATTTTTAATTCTTTGAGGAAAAACTCAATCATCTACTGCTCTGTGGATACTGCTTAGGGCTAACATTGTTGCTACTCTCTGGGTTAAGGAGCGTTTTGGCCAAGGATACTGCCATTTGGAATATTCTTTGGTAATATGCTTGATGCGAAAGTGGAAATTAAAGGCTACAGGAGCACTAGACCCATTTGCCCTAGCTTTTCGCCCTCATCTGCTTTCTGAAAGGGAGACAGACAAAAAGCTCACTCTGGTGCTGGTGATGGATGTGGGTGGTATTTGGAGAAGGGTGGTGAAGCAAGAACCCAC